TAAATTAAAAACTCTATTTTATTTTTTTATAATTATTTTGGTCCAAAAAAAATTCGTTTAGCTTATACCAAATGAAGACTAACAAAAAGAATATAATATTTGTTATGCCATTTGGAACTTTAAAAGCTGAATATATGTTTCATAACTTAGAGGAGTCAATTATATTTTAGACAAAATCATATTTATAATTTTAATTTTCTCGTTAGAACATCCTCATCAAACTCGGTAAAATTATTTTTTAGCTTAACTAGCAATATAAACTTCAAAAAATCAAATTCATCAATCTCGCTTCCAACTCGTCAAAATTTGTAATCGCTACAGTATCTCCGTACAATAAGTGATGTATTGTTCAATCCTAGATTAGTATTATTGGATGTCTGGCCGGGAGTCCGCCCAGACGTCCAGTCGATCAATAGGTCAAAGGAAAATTATTTTTTGGTATTTTTTAAGAATTGTTTGGCTGATAATTCATTAATTTAATAAAAAAAATAACAAATATAAAAAAGATTAAGGTCAAGTTTGGTATCTTTCAAAAAACCCAAAAAGCTAAAAAGTTACTCAAAAAGTTAAAAAGTTATCATCATTCACCAAAAAAAAATATTAAAAATTTATTTTTTCACAAATTCATATAACTCAACAATCATTCCTACTTTTCGGCTGTGCAGCATTGGGACAGAAAAATAGGACAATTTGGAGCAATTTTGACACACTGTTGTTCGGCCCGTGAGGGCCTATCACGGGTCTCGTTTTGATAATCTGAACCGTTCAATGTGTAGAACTTGTCGAGTACTATATATTTATAAAAAATCACATTGATCGGATATCAATAATTACATGATCAAATCAGTTTTGTATGAAAAAATAAATGGTGTTATAATTAACGATTGAAAAAAAACAAATCTGATCAAATAGCTATCGATATCCGATTAACGTAATTTTTTATAAGCATATATTGCTCGACGAGTTCTGCACATTAAACGGTTCAGATTATCAAAATGGGACCCGTGATGGCCCCCACGAGCCGAACAAAACAGTTCACTGCAATGCCCAAAAAGTACCCAATAATTTCTTGCCATGAATTTGACTGGCAGATTGTACAGCTGTCATTTACTCATCTCCAATCTTCTCCTACACACTTCTTAATACAATTTTTTAAGGGAGCTTTTTTGATAAATCCATTTTCTAAGAGTTTTATTCCATCCAACCCATATTCTTTTTGACTATTCCATTAGGTCCAATTTGAGATAAGAAGACCAAAATACCCTTTTCATCTACTTATGTTCCATTTAGTTCACATTATTTTCTTATATTTCAATAAGTCCTATGGGTGACATAATTACCAAAATACCCTTAATGTGAATGTTCACACCGTCAACGTAAATGTTCATATCGTCAATGTGTAGGGGCCCGGCCCATGTCGATCCTCGTGGGTGCCCGGAAAAATTCGAGTCGGGCCGGGCCGGCCCACAGGCCAAAAAAATAGGCCCGGCTCGGCCTGTTGATAATATGAATATTCACATTGACAAGTTAACATTCACATTGATAAGAATGTAAAATTGGCTTGCGGCCCGTGGGCGGCCCGAAACTAGCTCGTCGCCCGGAGCGGGCCCGGACCGGCCCGTTCACAATATAAATATTCACATTGACATATTAACATTAACAATAACATTGACAAGAGTGTAAAATTGCCCCATGACCCGTGGGTAGCCCGAAGCCCGGGCTTGGGCCCGGGTCGGGGCGGCCCGGCCCGTTGACAATGTGAATATTCACATTGACATGGGGTCGGGCCAGGTCCGCCCAGGGCAGCCCACGAGCCGCAGGCGGGTTT